ATGATCGCAGAGTGCGAGTTTTGTTAATGTTTGTAAATTAGGTTGCGGTTTGTCTCATTGACTCACCGGGAGGGAGGGGGGGGGGAGAAGGAGTGGTCGCTGTAAAATTCCCAAGATGATGTGAGAGCATGACTCGGACCACAAGGTGATGTGAATGTAAAAATGTTCTTGTTGCATTGAGTTTTTAGCCATTTATTGGATCATGGATTGTCCAAGGAGGATTGTCGGATTTATGAGCTGAATCATGATAGTATAAGACAGTATTGGGATAATTTATAAGATCTTTTCAGTCAACTGTCCAGTGTGAGGTGGCAGACATTCAACTTCAAGTCACAACTGTTAACTAAGGTCAAGGTGTGTTTAATTTGAGCTGTCAGTAAAAGAACATTTTTTTATTTTTTGTCTGGAAGACTGTAATGATAATTTAATTTCAGTACACTTTAATTTATTACAGTACAGAGATATGCACTTTGCTATAGAAAGTAGACTATAGATTAAACGTGATTGTCTGGTATCATGAGAGTTCTGGCATCTTTTAATATCGTAAGGACTCATTGGGTTTTGTACTGGGACTCATTGATTCTGAGAGCTGGTAAAATCCTGCGACTTTGGCACTTTGGAAAAGATGATAAGAGACCTAAATGTCGAGAAGTGCTCTTCCCAAACCTTAAAGCAGAAAGTGCTCCAGCAAGAAGACCTTGACCTAGCAAAACTGTGAAAATTGCGCGGAATGCAGAAACGGCCGTAGAAGAAGCGCCATTGCTGTCTCAAGGCACCAGAGAAAGCCCAACCCAGATCGACCACATCCACCCTTCTCAAAGGTCACAAGTGAAACCTCTCAGCTGTTACAGATGTGGTGGAAGAGGCGGACATGCTCCTGACGAATGTGGCGCAATCAAGTCCAGGTTTAATAAGTGAAAAAAGTCACTTATGAAGGTCTGCAGCTTGAATTCAAAACCTGGTACAGATTGCCCTGAAAACAGCTAAGATGACGAGAGTGAAGAACCTGTGCTCTCTCCCAGTGGTGACCGTTCCATCACAGAGAGGATTAACGAACAAAGGATCAAAATGAGTGTCGACACTGGCAGTAAGTACGAGATAATATCCTCAGAATTGTTTAAGACGCATTTAAGAACTATGAACGGAGTCAGACTCAAAAGTGCTTTGCTGTGTATGGACAAAAAGATCCATTAAATTCTAAGGGTTACTTTAATGCTGCCATTAGGGTAGGCGACAAAACTGTCAATTGAAATATTTATGTAATTGAGGGTAATGCAGAATCATTAATTGGACGAGACTCTAGTTTTAAGTTAGCAATACTAACCCAAGTAAATTCAGTAGGTCAGAATGATAGTCAAAGTGAACTGGATTCATTGTTCGTGGAGTACGATGATGTTTTCTAAGGAATTTTAGAGTTGATGTGTTTTGTGCTAATATGAAGCCCAACAAATTGGATTCAAAATTCTCTTTGGCTAAGCATGTTGTAATTGAGACCAAAGCGCAAGACATGTTCAGTCTAATCAATGTGGACATGGGTGCCACCTTGGTTTGCAGTGCAAAGTACTTAAAGCATGCATCTAGTAAGAGCATAGATAACGATAGCAAAGAAGAAATGTCTACCAACCATAAGGAGTCCAACAATAAAAAATTGTATCGTAATGACTCTAGTGCTAAAGTTTCTGATGTTTGTGACCACACTGAACCTTCTGGTTGTGTTGATGAGCAAGCCTCTCAGAATGAACGGGTCATCACTAGGTCAGGAAGAGTTGTTAAGTCAACTAAGCACTGTGATAATTTTGTACATTATTGACATAACCTTATTGCTAATGTTGTGATTTGTTCAATACATCTCTCGTATATTCTTAGAACCCGACTGCAAAGGATGTAGTGTATTGATTACCATAGTAACGATTATGTACTATTACCAACATCAGTGGAACTACATGTACTAAGTGATATTAAAGTATAATACAGCTCGAATGTAAAAATACTGATACAAGGTGACATTAGAATGTACACACTCAGTGATCTTGGTGATTTAAGCAATCTGATTGATTCCCTATCTCGGACTATTCAACAATATTTACCTCCTAGCGAGTGAATTAAGTGTGAGCTCGGTGTTTTTGCCATTGTTTTAGAGAATGATCTTGTAAAAGTCGACAAAGCCTAGGGAAGACTCCTTTTTAAGGCAAGAAAAGACTTGGAAGAATTGAAAACGGCATTTCTCCATTTACTGTAGCTGAGTTCTGTGCTCAGTTGATTGTTTACAACTCCTGTTACTTGCGTGGAAGAAGCCATTTCGTGAACTCAGCATTTCCTAACAAGCTTATTTATGACAAACAAATTTGAAAGCAAATGTTTGCAAAAATTCTACGTTTCAAGTGAACACGAGAAAGAGTGCTACAGGAAGAAGACATCTTACCTTGAGCAACCAAGCCGCCATTTTTGTCAGCACTTCATGCGAAGAACGACACAACAAACCCTTTCAGCTATAAAGTTGATGAGTCAACAGAAAAAAACAAAGCTCTACTTTTCTTCTCAGGTAAGAAAACAATTCACACTTTTAACAGTTCCATTTAAGCCATTACACTGTTGTTTGCAAAGTGATAAACTTGTGAATTGCCATGTTTGAAAATTCTGCAAAGATCTATTTTTAAACTCTTGTATGATTTGATCCGTCAATCAAATCGTACTTTTTATGGTTCCTTTCTGGTTTTGTTGAGATAACTTTGTGTGTATATACTAAAACAATAATTCTCTTCAAACTCAGTGAATAGTGGCTTTGCGGCTCAGTAAATAAGCAGCCACTATTCACCTCGATTTCAAAGAATAATTAAGTAGATTATGATTTCTGGTAGGTTATATACTTGTTCAGTTAATAAAGGACATTATGCAGGAAGCAATGGAAGTGTATCTCCTTACCTCATGACTATACCAGCAGAACTAGTGACCAACGCTCCCACTTGTGATGGAACAACTAGGACGACGACCTACAGGAAGGAGTACCAAGTTGACTCCCCACATCAATCCAGGCACAGACCTTCACAAAGAAGACAACTGTACCTATTGCCAATCCCCCAATAATACCCCATCATAATTATGCAGGTCATCCATGGCAGCTTGAACAGGACTGTTCTCCTGCAACGGACCGCAGATGTCCACGTCCAGCCACATCGGACAAGATGACCACGGAGACCACCTGACATTGTTAACTACACCAACTCATAAAAGTAATCAACGTCGTGGTTTGTGACGCAACACAAGTGTGACCTTACCCACCAACTTTAGTGCCACCACTGAAGAACACTCTGATCACTGCTTCCCACGACCTTTAAGCCTGAAACCTGAAGCGCACAACCACAGTAACAAACGTCTTCTGAGCATTCATGCCACTGAGGAGGACAGGTTGGAGCACGAAACCACCTTAGATGCTGGTGACTTTTCGGATGCATACCCGCAAAAAAAGAAGCATAAACACAACCTAATCATCTAAGCTGAATTTCAAAACGGAATTGAAATTGACGCAAACCGAAACATACTCCTTGAATTTAATTCACAAGTTAAAATGAACACTATTCAAATTGTATGTTCACTGTTTACGGCCAAATAGAGGAAGAGTGCCGACAGGAAATTTGCCACTTGGGATAAAGATGAAAAATATCACAACTCTTATTTATGGCGTCAGATTGGGAACATAATCGACAGTCGTTCTTTGTAGGGTGGGTAAACTCTTGTGCTGGGTCGTTTGAACTATCCTTGGTAGGGTGGTGTGGTTTCTCGTAGGGCGGGTTACTGTAGGTCGAGGCGCTTTTTTGATTTTGTTGTAGGGTCGCCCTGTTCTTTGCACAGTGGGTCACTTTATCGTAGGGCCATTGTGTTCATTGTAGAGTGGGCTAGTTCCTCGTAGGATTGGGCTGTGCTTCGTTGGGTAGGTCAATCCGTCGCAGGGTCATTCTGGTGATTCTGGTAAGGTGATTCCTTTTTTCTCCAGCCGGGTTCCTGGTTGTTGCTTCGCAGGGCCAACGTCAATAAAACTGGCCACCGGTGCTGTCGCTCTATCTTGGCAAAAAATGGTTGTCTTACATCAAGTACCTTGCCAGGCAAATGGGACAAAAATGGTGTATCAAGTGATTCCAAACATTTCTCCAGCTCGAAATTTGAAAATTCACCTATTGCCAGCTATTTCTGAAGTTATTCGCTTTTTGGAAAGTCTCAGTATAAGTGGTAATGATCGGAACCAGCTTGATTATTTGAAGTACAAGATTGAGCAAATCCTTTATTTTTGTATTTGCAGTCAAAACACTTGGTGTCGGAAACTCGATAATAGCATAGGGTTTTTAATGTTTATTTTGTCACGAACTGCCAATCTTTGAAGGCGTTTATTTTTATCTGAATGGCAAAGATCACGTTATTCCACGTGTTATTGTGAAATAGAGTACGTTTGTTATTTTTCTGTCAGCAATATCGTTTTAGCCAATCAGCTCATGTTTATTCAAGGTGTGCCATAGATTAGGGTTTGCTCGATTGATGCCAGTGAGAGGTGGATTATTTTTGTAGGAGAAAAGAAAAAACTGTGATTAAAAAACCTGAAAGTGAAGACTGAGGACGTTGTGGGCCTTCTTAACCTATTCCCCACATTGGACGGATTTTTTGACTGACGAAATAACTTAAGTGTTATTAGCTGCATACAGCAAACTCTGTGAGGAAAGCAATGATCTTGACACTCGCAGAGAATCTCGCTTTCAAGTTATCTACACAGGGTTGACAGGTAGGCCAGCTCTTGCCATCCCAAGGGAAACTTTAAAACTTTATTAAGCTACGGTTCCTCACTTCAAAAGATTGCCGATATTTTCGGCACTTCACGGAAAATTATCAGTAGGTGAATCAAGTCATTCAACTTAAGAGAGGAAGGGCCTAAGTACGATGAAATTTCAAAAGAAGCCTTGGACTCGGTTGTGTCTCAAGTGTTACAAGACTTTTCTAACTGTGGTATTCGAAGAATGAAAGGTTTCTTGCTTGGGCAAGGCGTAACAGTACAGTAGAGTCGTGTGCTGTAGTCTTTGTGGAGAACTGATCCCGGTGGCATTCTGTTACGAACATCTCAACTAAATATTGCAAATCGCCGTCATTACAGTATTCCAGGCCCCAAGTCCTTATGGCACTTGAATGGTAATCATAAGTTAATAAGATGGGGATTTGTCATTCACGGTTGTGTTGATGGCTTTTCAAGATGAATTATGTTTTTGAAATGCAGTAATAATAACAAGGCCGTAACAGTGTTACATCTTTTCTTAAATGCAGTTCAAGAATTTGGATTTCCTTCTAGAGTCAGGGGAGATCAAGGCACTGACAATGTTGAAGTTGCCAGAGGTATGATTTCCCACCCCAGCAGAGGGCCAGGAGGGGGCAGCTTCATAGCTGGGATAAGTTGTCATAACCAGGGAATTGAGAGGTTTTAGAGAGATTTGTTTCATAAGTGTACCTTCTTATTCTATTACATATTTTTTTATTTCAAAGATTCTGGAATACTTGACATCAGTGGTGCTATTCACTTGTTTTGTTTGCACTATGTGTTCAGCCCAATGATAAACCAACATGTGGAAAATTCAGAAGTGGTTAGGACAATCATCCACTTTCCTCAGATTCAAATATGACACGCGTTCAACTCTGGATATATGAATTAGCTAGTTTCCAGAGAGAAGGGGTACAACCATGTACAGAAGATCATCAAGACTTGGCCTCATTTGGTATTGACTATAGTGGTCCTCTTCCATCAGGTGAGTATGATGGGGAGACGTGCAGTGATGTTTCGGTTGAAGTTCCTGAAATTCCATACCCTTTGAATGATGCAGCTATCAACCAATTGAAGTTTGAAATTGATCTCATTGAGGAGTCTTCCTGTTATGGAATTGACATTTATGTGAAAGCAGTGGAAATGGTGAATGAACTTTCAAGACTTGTCTCAGCTTAGTTGATATTGACAGACCTTTTCATGAAACATGTAAAAAAATACAACTTTGTAGAAAGACCCACAGAGACCAAGGTAAAAAAGAAAAGAGAAATCAACCTCTACTGTAGGTGATCAGTTTATTAAGTTCTTATATGTGGGTGGGTTTGCAATGGCTCCTTGGCAGCCTGTTTCTAATCCTGCCATAACAATGACAATGGTACGTAATGACTACTATAATGAACCACCATATAGTCTTGCAGCAATGGAGGTTTTACTAAGCAACACCTGTTGATGGTTACCACGTGCCTACTGGGTAAATGCCACAAAACTACACAAGCAGGATGTTGGAGCGTCATAAATAAGCCCCTCGTAAAAGGATGAACTGAACTGTACATTGTCACTTAGTTGTTGTTTTTGTTATTATTAATATTATAAGTTTATACACAAGTCCCTGAAGACCCCCTTCCACCGCCTTGGTGCATGAGGGATTCAAATAAAGATACATTAATGCGTGTGTCATTTTCTGAACCCCTGTAGTCATTACTGAACTAAAGTGTCTTCTATGAACTTTGTTGTTTTGAACTATTAATATTTTAAGTTAATTATTATTATTATTATTGTTATTAGTAAGATAAGTTTATACATATACCCGTTGAGATCCCCTTCTCCTGCCTTTACGCATATGGGATCCAAATAAAGATATATTTATAGTTGTGACATTTTCTGAACTCATGTAGTTGTTAATGAACTTAAGTGTCCTTTATGACCTATGTTGTCTTTACTCAACTATGTTGTCTTTAATGAACTATAAAAATAAGAAACACTGAGAGAGTATGACCAGAATTTTAGTTTTAAGAACGTTGTAGTGTCTGCTAGGACACAAGCACTCTTGCCTGATAACAGTAGACAGATATTCTTGGACAAGGGTCTTAAGGTAGAGTGAAATAGTGCCATGTTATTGTTAACAGACATTGTACTACATTTATTTCACTCCAACTTTCTTCTCTTCTATACTTCATATTGATATTTGTTCCCAAGTTCGAATTTTTTTGTAGATAATTTGGATGGTTTTTATATATATCCCCCTAAACAACAGGTCATAATTCAATTACAGTTTTTAGAATATGGGTAGCTAATTAAGAATTTGCTTCATTAGTAATTATTCGGTTTTTGTGAGCTAACTGCAATACGTACAATCACTCACAAAGAGTTTAAGTGGATTTTTCCTTGCCATTTGTAATTAATTTCTAAGAACGCTTTTTAATAGGTACAAGTCAACCTTGCAGTGATAGATACCATCTTGGATTTTTTTAAAGCTCCATGTCATTCCCCTCATGCCTCTCTTTGGTATATATTAATAAACACTGCTCACTAAGTAGTGTGTTGATGTTTCCCAGCCATTTGCCCTAAAGGCTATGGAAAACTCTTTGAGATAGGCCACATTTAATTATGTATTTAATTAAATATATTTTATAACAGCTTTTGTTAAAATTTATTAAATAATCAAGTTATTACACCACTTTTTGAGATTTTTGGAATATTAAAAGAGAAATGAGTATGTAAAATAACTTAATATTAAAATGTTATTGTTGAGTTTAAGATCCAGTGGTTTTGACATAGACCACATGTTCATCATATATTTAGGTACATATATATTTTATTAGAGATTTTTACAAGAATCAGTTGGGATAAATAATATATTATGTTTGACTTGTTGATTGGATAATATTAAGATATTATTGAGGTATTCCATAGATTATTGAGATCAGTGGTATATTAAATAAAATGTTATTGCTGAGTTTGAGATTCTGTCAGTTATTTTTAAAACAAAATAAAGATTTCTTCTTTTTCAATGCTACTGACTAGAGTGGTTGCACTTGATCCTTGGAATGGATGGCACAAAAACATATGAACGGTGAAATTAAATGAAACTAATTGTCTCTAAATATTGACTGTTCATGTGTTTTTGCTCCATTAGCCCAAGACACAATTAGACACTTTCTATTGTATTAACTTTGTTTTGAGTGGATTTCAGTATTAGACGTTGACTGTATAAGTGAAACCAAGTGAATGTGAAAGTCCTCTAAAACAACAAAACATCCCATTTTACACATTCATGTTTGCAAACTGATGAATGGAAGTCCCGTATTTTATATTAGTATCTGTCTTTAGTAGTCAATTTTTATGGGTGTTACGAAAACGAAGACCCCCTAAAATCGAATCCGTCGAAATATTAAGTCAAATTGAAACCGAAGTAGGGCTGATCTGTCAAATTATAACATGTTCGATCCTTTCCACCGAGTTTTAGGTCAAATTTAGTGGTAAATTTAGGGGTCTTAGTTTTTGTAATTTCGAAAACTAAGACCCCCACCAAAACAATCTCTAAAATTTCTACAAAGTCAGATTACGACAGTTTGAAGACTATAATCCGTAAGACAAACAAAAACTACTATCCTACACGTGCTAGACGATCCGCTTCTTCTAAAAATATGCCTTACCCCTATAATTTTGGTTGTTTATCCTTAAAGTCATAAAATTAATTTTCCACTGGAGATGGATTTTTGTCTTCGTTGCGGGCTGACATGTCGCTGCAACCTGAATGCCTGATCGCTAAGTGGACAACGGCGTTATCCGTTAAACATCACACAAAAATACAGATTTTTTTTTCCTTTTCTGGCCAGGTCATAGATAGAAAAGTGCTTTTATAACATAACAAAAGTAGANTTGTGTTATTGACTTTTTGGTCAAGCTGATGCTAAATTCAAGCAAATATTTTAGGAAACACGCTCAAATTCGAGACAGCTTTGTTGTGAAGTTTTCATCGCATCGATTAAAAATTTTAGTTGAGTTTAAACGGGCACATAACGCTGGAATAAGCGAATTTCATTTGAGTACAGAAACATTTGGGTTTTCAAATAAATTTTTCAAAACATAACTTCTGTGTGTATTATTTTGTTTCTCAGTGTTCATTCATAACAGTCGTTCAGAGATCGGTCGAAAAACAACAGCTTCAGCACCGGTTGTATGTCGGCGAATTTCAGTTGCAACTGAACTTTGACTTTCATAGCTGGATTTCCCCAGACAGATTTCGATACAAAGCTAGTTAATTTCTTTTTAAAATTAGTGTTAACTGTTATTCTTAAGGAATTACAGTCAAATTTTCTCATTTCTACTTTACGTTTATTTCAAAAATTGTCACATAAATAAGCTTGATAGTTTTCATTTATTTAGTTTTGGCTTCTTTTTTAGTCCTTTTAGTTGGTGTTTATAGTTGCAGCTATAGTTTTCCCTCAAAGTTTTTACCCTAATATTAAGAGAAAGTAGACAGATGCCATTCAGAATAACAACGAAAAACGTTTTGCAATTTACCTGAAGACGGAGAACGGTTGATTCAGCGAAAGAAAAACTCAAAGGCAAGTTTCTGAAATACGTAGAACATGATTTGTTTACGCGCGGGCAGATGGCAGCATACATGAACTCGTACCGATGACTCAACCGAAGGCAAATGGAAAATAATGTATTTCTCTTTTGATTATGTTACAAAAGAAATGGTAAACGTTGCAGCTGTGCAACCATGGAGTTATGGATGCACTTGGGAGGTTTGCTAAGCACTCAAGAAGCTAGAGTCTCACTCGGCTATCGCCTCGTGCGACTCTTACGCTTCTTTCGTGCTTAGCAACCTCCCGCGTGCATCCATAACTCCATGGTTGCACGCTGCACGTTTACCATTTCTTAATTATAAAAAGGGCGAAAAATGGAGAATATGCTACATAGCGTTTTTCTAGCATTTGTTTTTATCGTTACCACCCCAAGATCACCGGGTTACAATGCAAAGGTAGTTGAGGGGTAGGGGTGGGGGGGCAAGGAAAAAAAAACGAATGAGTGAATGAATTTCCTGTACTAGCAAAGCATCGTCTCGAGAATTGGAGTTCTAATTTCAGAACAATAAAATAAACAAACAATAAATACATAGTGAAGATTGAGTGACAGTAGGTTGCCAGAGGTCAGGATTCCCGGGGTATTAATTTTCGGCGGGAAAATTGATCACATGAGTTCTTGCTCGTGGCGGCATGTTCAATCGGGATCTCATCGATCGAAAATGTCCCTTTTCCGAAAATTTTTTCCTAAGCTATCAAAAAGTAAAGCAGTATCTGGAAATTATGTCAATTCAAGTATCCAGCGCTTCGATTGCAACAATTTATCTGTTTAGGAGAGAATCGGACAAGGAGCGTTTGGCGATATTTATACCACCGACTACAGATTCCAGAGACACGAAGAAAAACATCCATCTCCGTGGAAAGCAAATTTCATGATTTAAAGGATAAACAACAAAATTAAAGACCAATAGGCACAGGGAAATTTTACAAAAAAAACATGTGTTTTTTTAATTACAGAATGGTTTTTAACAATTTCCCATTTTGGGAAAAAACCATCAATGTATTTAAAATCAAATTCCCATTTTGGGAATTAAAACTATGAATGTTAATTTAAATACGTAGATGGTTATTATTGATAAACCATCAATGTCATTCAATTTTGTCACAGTGGAAGTTACATGATATCCTTTCAGTTGTAAACATGAATGGTTTTCTCTCAGATACCAAGAAAGGTGTTTAAATCTCCCATTCACAGTGAAACAGGCCACATTCTGACCAATAACAACATGAATGTTAATTTAAATACATAGATGTTTATTATAAATAAACCATGAATGTCGTTTGATTTTGTCAAAATGGAACTTACATGATATTTTATCAGTTGTAAACATGAATGGTTCTCTCAAATACCATGAAAGGTTTTTAATTCTCCCATTCACAGTAAAACAGGCCACATTCTGACCAATAACAACAAGAATGTTAATTTAAATACATAGATGGTTATTATAAATAAACCATCAATGTCATTTGATTTTGACATAATGGAAGTTACATGACATTTTATGAGTTGTAAACATGAATGGTTTTCTCATGAATACCATGAAAGGTTTTTAAATCTCCTATTCACTCTTAACTTAGGTTTATTGATTTAATTCTAGTTGTTATTTTTTCAGGAGGAAAGCCATCAGGGCTGCAGTCATTAAAACATGGCCTGGAAATGACATACCAACGTTTGAAAACAATAGAGAGACTGAAGAGCAGCTGCAGAATTTGGTAGAAGACCTTAATGAGGAATGTTCTTTTCCAGTTTTGAGGTTTGGAAAAGAAGGTATAAAACAGCATGTTCTTGATATCCTCAACGAACAAAGACGACATGTTAGAAAAGGACATGACTATTCTGTGGTAAGCTGACATAATATTTATTGTACTATCTGAAGTATATATAAAAACAAAAAACTTCACTGCATGAGAAACATAAATTATCAAACTTTCATCAGGATATCCGAACATTGAGAAATGAGTTTAAAAAACAAGGCACAGGCAATTTTTTTTTAAATTAACTTCGCCCAAGGTGATATTTTTGAGGGCCATAAGTTAGAAAACTGTAACAGGTTATTATGCCTCCCCTTTTAAATACAGTTTCTGTGTTGTATTGTAATTTTTCTTCCAAAATTTGCAGCCTGACAAACGGACTCTGAAAAGAAAAGTTGACATTAACGAAAGTAGTTCATCAGCAGCAGATCTCTCTGACAAGCCTGACAATTGCAACCACACTCTGAAAAGGAAAGTCAAAAGTGGTGAAAGTACCAGTACTAGTAGTGGCAGTGACCAGTCTGGCGATACAGTTTCAGTAATTGACGAGGACTCCAGTAGTACTAGTGATGAGGACGGTATATGTAGCTATAATGGAGACTCCAGCAAGAAAATAGGTTTGATATTTTTCATTTTATGCTTATCATGTTTTGTATTCATATCTACTTGTGTTTGTTTTTCTTGGGTGTGGTTATCTCTGATTATGCTGATTAGGGTATAATAATTTTTACAATAACTGAGCGATTTCTCGCGCACTCATTGGTCGAGAGCTATGGTCTATGAGAGTATAGACCATGAAAATGACGCAATGATGGCCCAAGTCCGTGTGCGTGATTTTCCAAGAAACCACGCCGGAAATGGACATTAAAAACTGTAAATATTATTGTAAAAAACAAATAGACAACAATTTTCCAGGGTCTATACTCTTATAGACCATAGCAATGAGACCAGACAAAGATCTCCTTTGATATTGTAAGTGTTTGCCTAGTTTCACCTACCGTGAGCTTACGAGCTTCCCCGCATTCTTGCATCAGATTTATAAAGTTAGGATATTTCATTAACACACCCTGGCAATGCCTCTTTGGCCTAACAAAATTAATATCACTAATTATTTTGGGAGAGGTCAGCCAATTGAGAGCTTGCTAGCAGGCTAATATTAATCACTCTGCAAAAAATATGTATATACATTTTAACTAAGAAAAAGTAATAAAACAAACTGAAATTATAAATTAAGAGTGGGAAGTCATTGATTTGCTTTACGAGTAGTTTTTTAGGCCAGATAAAATACATATAAGATCCTTACCCTTCTTGTCCATTATGGGGAAATGGATCCATATTGGGGATGGCTACACACCCAACTCCTGCCACTAAACTCCTAGAAATAAGCCATCATCCCATTGCCAAATCTAATCATCAGTCCATTTCATGTAAGGCCTGCATAATTATGCATAAACAGTAAATGTGCACAAGTCATGTGTTATTGCTTTCATGTGGGATTGTAAGAATATAATAAAATATTATAGCAACTTACTCTTTCCAGAAAAATGCATAGCTCAGGGTCAACTACATCAATACAAGAAGCCCTGCTAATGCCTTCATTCAAATCCCCCGTAGCAACATACCAAAACACGGCAGGAGCAAGGTAAGGAAATCCTGGACCTCCCAGGACTAGACTGTGTGAAACCATTTTGCCAATGGTCTCAAATATGGCGGTAAGGAGATTCTCACTTCTGTAGAGTGGAGTGACTCTATTGGGTGGACCTGTAAAAAGCCTAAGCCAGGAACTTCATTGTTTGCCAACATTTTGAAAACTGTAGTAAATGCTTGTCGCATTAACCCACCAGAGTCCACTCCAGATTGACCTTTACATCTCACAGTGATTGGGATAGATGCATCAAAGTCCTTAGACTTGTAGTATCGAAGAAAGTCAAAAGCAGTGTCTTCATCTTCTATTTTAAGCCTTTCAGCACAGAGAGCTGACTTCACCTTTCTTTTAAAGTGCTACTAAAGCGAAAATCAATCCACTGTAAAAAACAATTAATTATTACTCCGATTCCTATTTAATCAGATAAAAAGGCATTTAAGCCATGCAAACATTTTCTTCATAATATTTTTGGAGCGCGAACACAGACAAGTTGCTGCAAAAAGTGCGTTCAGGCGATTCCCTAATTAGTTATGCATGTGATGTCACATGGTTGACACATCAAGCACGGGGGAAACTGTAGCTCATACATGTCACTATGGCGAAGCATGGTGGAAAGACTTGTGTGGCCAGTGCTCCAGGAGGAATCAATTGTAGGAACAATTCTTATACTCCAAATGTTTCCATGCATATATTCCCTAAAAATGAGAAAGTAAGGGATCAATGGGGAAAGTTTGTGAATGTTCATAGGCCAGATTGGAAATCTACATTTCACAGCACTTTCGCGAGAGCTGTTTTACAGGGCTAAAATTAAGCAGATTGTTGCCAGCCAAAACTAGCGATGAAAACAGCATTAGCTCTGAAGAAAGTTCAAGCACGAAGCCCAAAGAAAAAGGAGTTTTAAAAGCGGGATCAGTTCCAACTATCCAATGTGCTATTCAAGCACCAGTGATCGACCAAAGCGCTTGTGAGAGGAGAAGATTGCAAGTGTGAAATGCATGCTTTTTTTGTTGTTAATAATTTTCATAAGCTAACATTGTCTTCACCAGTTTCGTTGCCAGTTAAGAGACATCGAAAAAGTTACAATTCACGTCGTATTTTAATCAAAGTTACCAAAAAGAAGGCTGCTCATGAAAGGGTTTTCGGTGTTCAACACTCATAAGTTTGTTTACGCGCGATTAATCGCCCACACTTAATTCCACCCGGGAACTTTTTGTTTGACTAATTCAAGTTGTTTAGCCAAGATAATTTCTCTAATAAATTCGTCTTTTGTTATAAAAATTGCAGTTCTTGAGGGAAATTGAGCGTTGAGCTAAGCATGAAGCCGAGCAAGCAGCCACTACAAGTGAAACAAGTGCTGACACAACTGCAGTCTTGGAACCATACGAGGACTGCGCTGTAGACAATGGAGAATCCGACTGGTCCGAAGCAAGTAACACTGCGTCTCCAGAAATCAAATAGAAGAAAGTGGGGCGATAAGCAAAGCCACGCAGGCAAAACCTGCAGTAGTGTCGAGGAAGTCACAGGCTAAACTCGGCGTGTGCCTGAAGTGTGTTAATAAAAAGGCGCAAATAAGAGCTCTTCAGAAGCAAAACGTGAGGTTACGTTCGCAGAGGGAAAAATGGAAAAAAGCAGCAAGGGGAGTACCACTGAGTGTCAGTATTTATTTAGTTCTACTAAAAATACCCACCGAAATGAATTAGCCCCTGTCAAGTGGTTTCGGACCTTTTTGGTTTTTCAGGTGACAGTTCTTTTTTCTCAACCTTTTTTGGTAGTGAGACTGCAGTAGCGAGGAAGAAGACGAAGCAGAAGAGAGTATTGAGGAAGTAGAAGGACTCACAGGGGAGGAAGATATGGATTGTTTCGAAGAACCTGGCCTTGCCAGATGGAGGAGAAAGGGGAGGACGATATCGGTGCTGATGATGTGGAAACTAACCATCAATCTACCAGCAACATCAGGCAAGATCCAACGAGTTTTAAAATATTCTTGTTATTGTTCCTATTAAAGTTTGTTTTAAATTTTTTTAGTAAGCTTATGTATTTCACGTTTTTGGTGCAATAGTTAATCTATAAACTCACAACGTTGTTCAGAAATGTAATGGCAAAGTTTCATCTTTACACAATGTACAAGCTCGTTCAAAAATCCTTATAAAATTTCTCATAATAAATCAAGGTGCTAATAGGCAGGCTATTGCCATCAAAAAAGTTGTTGGGGAATTAATTACGTGGTGATGCCTGACCCCTGGGCCAAGGAAGATCTGCAGAGAGGCTAAAGTTGGTTCTAATTATTCAAGCTAAGTTTTCTACATGTAAGAGCATATTTTGCTAATTTACCCCCAAAGAATAACAGAAGCAAATGCTTATACTTTTTATGGTTTTAAATTATTCTTTGCATCTTTTGCAGCTTCAAAGTTCTCTTTTGCTCTTTAATCCCGAGCGATTTAGAATTTGAAGCACTGCAGGTAGCTAAGCAAATCTTAATGCCTCAAATTTTGGATTATTTTCTAGTGTTGAGAAAGACATCCCTTGTGGACAAGAGCCTAAATTTATTGTGTTCTACACACAACTTCTGGCCCTATTCTCACTGATTTGCTTCAAGTGTGGAGGAGAAGCACCAAAGGTCTCTAAGCAAAAAAATGGGACAATGGTTACTGTCAGACAATGTTGTGAAAACTGTGGACCTAATGCCTTCATGTGGAGATTCCAGCCCTTAGTGCTTGGAAGGTATCCAGCAGGGAATATATTGCTACGCTTTGCCATTCTCATGGCAGGTGCATCTGTCAGCAAAGTGCTCCTTGTACTCAAACACCTGGGTATCTGTATATACTGTGCACGAACATACTTTGCACTCCGGAGCAAATTCCTATTTCCGGCTATTTTGACTCACTGTGAAAGATACCGAACCAACCTGGTGAATGAACTGAAGCGAAAGGGAGGTCATTTGGTGTGGTGATGGGAGATTTGACTCTATGGGACACTGCAAAATATGGTGCATACACAATGTTCTGCTGCGCAATTGCTAAAATTGCACATTTTGAACTTGTCCAGGTATGTTATAAATATTCAAGTAATGTAATATTATTCTCTTCTTGCGTTGCTGAATAAAAATTTCATGGTAATAAATTTTTTTCTAGTAAGCCTCATTTATACATTCCACCATAGTCAATTATTCTCAGCAGGATTTGAAGTAAGTATTCACTCACCCAACTTTAAGAAGCGAAGTTATTGATGCCTTAGAATTTTGTCAGTCTTACTCGGAAAAAGATGAAATGTCCCTTTGCATTACAAATGAGACAGCCATTGGTGCACTGTTGTAGGGACTCTTTTTGAAAGAAAGTGAAGCTCAATGAATAATTTTCTTTTTAACAGACAAACCAAGTGAAAAGTAGCATTGACATGGAGCTCAAGGGATGTCAGGACTGTTTTGCCTTTCTCAAAGCAGCAGGGTTGACCATAGCTTTGTTTATTTCCCACAGGCATCGATCAATTGCAAAGTGGATAAGAGAGCAACAGCCAGTTACTGAGCACTTCTTTGACATCTGGCATGTTGCCAAGTCAGTGTCAAAGAAGCTGCTCCGAGTTGGGAAGGAGAGTGGGTGTGAACTTCTGGTGAAGTGGCAAAGGGCCATCAAAAACCATTTGCACTGGTGTGCTACCTCCACCAAGCTCGGATTTGGGGAGCTTATTTTAGCAAAGTGGAAGTCTATTGTGCGCCATGTCTGCAATAAGCATGACAACCACTCAGATCCTGTCTCCAGACAGTGTGTCGATGGACCTACATCAAGAAGGTATTGGTTAAAGAAAGGCGAGTTGTTTTGACAAACACAATTAATTTTAAATATATTTTTTCTAAACACTCCCTGGGAAATCACTCTACTCTAATCTTAAAATAACATGGTTTATTCCAACTCTCATGTAAGATCCAAGAAAAAATTCTCTGGGGTTTATTTCAAGAATGCAGATCAAAGGTAAAACCTCCAAAATGTCTTTGTTATTCAATTTTAGGCACTAATGTGTACAAGATGAAGCAGATATTGATGAATACCAGGCTACTAAATGACATCAAAAAGTTGTCCAGCGAGGACCAAACCAGCAGCCTAGAAGGTTTCCATTCAACCTTGAATCAGTTCCATCTTAAGATGATACGTTTCTCATGGCTTGGCTCATACTGCAGGTGGGATCATATATAAGAAAACAAAAATAGTATTACCAAAACTAGAGGTGCATGTGGTCTCTTAAATTATGGTAACATTCCTTTAAGGAAATCCTTCCCCTAATTTTAAATTCTGTCAAAATTTGTGTTCAGAACCAAAATAAAATCTGACTGCTTTGCTTTACCCTTGCATCAGAATTTCTGTTATAGTTCATGATGTAGCTTGGTGTGTTTTACGTCCTGGGCACATCTTAGGTAGCCTGCATTTTAACGAGAACATGCTGAGGGAGCCCCAAAGGATGGAAAGGATTACTTGTTAGTAACATACCCGAAGTACAAGTTTGGAGAAGAAGTTGTGCAAGAAATAAGAGTATCTCCCACATACAGTAAGTATAATGATATGCAGTAGCCACAGTTTGCAGTTAATGCCAGAGGGAACTGATACAAGGAATACACTAGCTTTCACAAATATCTTCTACTTCTCACACTGCTAAAAGTATGAAACTCATACTTTTTAGATCATGAACATAAATTTTAATCCATTGTTTTCCCCTTGTTTTTCCCAGAATATGTGGACGAGGTTAGGGAAATGGTGTTTAGCAATTTCCGTGGTGGAAAGGAATGCAATCCTCTCTAAGTATAAGGCAGGTATTCCCGCACCTTTGAACTCGAAGTTCACTGACAGGCCAAGTAGAGCAGGGACTATAGAGAATTACAACTAGAGAAAGCAGACAGAAACAGTGCTATACCCTTCAGATGAGATTTTGCAAAATTGAGTATATAATCATATCATTCAAGGAAGAATGATCCAATAAGATGTCAATATTCGTTGAATAACATCTTACTACCGGAAGTGGACCACCACAAACACCTGGGACTTTGGTTGGAGTCGTCTTTATCATGGGATTATCACATTAACTCAATTTGTGCTAAAGCTAACAAGGTGTTGAACTTGATTAAAAGGACATTTGGTTATTCAAACAAGACTGGTATCAAGACAGCTTTCAAGGCGCTAGTGATACCTATCCTCGAGTACGCCTGCCCAGTCTGGAATCCTTACCTGGTGAAACACACCAAGGCAATCGAAGCAATTCAGAGAAGAGGGTTCGACTAATATGTGGCCCCGACAAAGAATATCCTGAAAGACTTCTAGAGTTAAAATGGGACTCTTTAGAACTGAGAAGGAAATTTCTTAGCCTAGTTCAAATGTATATATTTGGTTACTGCGATATCAACTGCCATCAGTACTTTGATATTATTGGAATAACTCGAACTAGAAGTAAGCATGAGTATAAAATAAGGCCTAGAGTTGCCCGTACAAATTATTTTAAATATTCATTTTTTCATAGATATATTAATGATTGGAACTCTTTGCCTTCTGAAGTAATGTCATCTCCTAGCCTTCAGTCTTTTAAAGTTTCATTGATTAACTACCTTCGCACACGTAATTTACCTTAAAATACTAGGCATAGTGTCTTTAATATAAGTTTGTGCATTATTATTAGGCATCTAGGTTTATAATTTATAGTCTAATTTATAGTCTTTTAATATGTATGTTTATATATTAATTAATTTTTTTCCTTTTTTTTTTCGGAGGGTATGTCTAAGCATGGGATTTGATTTCCCCCTACTACCGTCCTGTTAACCATTTTTGTATTTTTGTTCAATTGTAGATGTTAGTATTAGTTCATTTGTATCAGTTATGTATGGTTACGAACTGAGATTAAAGATTAAAGATTCAAGCCCTACCCATCACGCTGTGGTCAATGTTTTGTTTCTAGATGTTTGCCTAAGTAAGGGCTGGCAAGCTCTGGTAAGTAATTCTACAGGGCTGTCACTAAAATTTCAAGTTGCAGGATAAATACAGCAAGTACGCGGAGAATCAAACAGCTAGGGGTTTCTTTTGGTTCTATTATTCTTTTTTCCTATAAAAGTAGCCAGAGGCCAACTTCATACTGAAATAGCCGGGAGGAATCCCAGGCCCCTGCCTCTTAAATACAATCTTGAATCTAGAAGGTATTAATATTGCACCCTCTACCAAAAGAACACTATATCAACAAAAAATTCGATTTTTTTCAACATTAAATAAACATATTCTACTTACAGTTGAAATTCAAAGTAAACTTCAGGCATCAAGCACCAACGCTAACCAACAGCCTACCAAGAAGAAAAAAAAAACTCCTACATGCAGAAAGTGCAAGCTGCCAATGAAAAACCATGCAAGAGGAAGCTGTTCTGGTGCCAGTAACACCTAAACACATATGACAGAGGCAATCTGGATATAATGATTTTATCTTCTATTTTAAACCATTTTTAGAGACTAAAAAATAAATTGTACTATATTTACACTTGTCACAATAGATATTAAGAAATGTTAACTGTGACAAGGATACAGGGATCTTGCATGTGGTATTAAACTATATGTGGGTGTATGCATGTGCAGGGTTGAGGAAAAAATGAGGATGTACAGCACACAATGATAATTTACCATGGTAGTAGGCCACTTTGAAAAAGACTACAATAGTCTTTTACACCACCATTGCAATATATTGCTACGGTATTAATCTCATCATGGCATGTACATGGTGATTGAGATGTTGGACAATTTTTCGGACAGTCAGTATTCAAATTATATTTAGCCTTGAAGCCAAAACATGCCAATCTGTTCTGTTAAGGTGTATTATTTCAACACTAAAAATGTCATTAACTTGATAGCTGTTAAATTTGTTACAACCACTGATATACTTGATGAAATGTTAATTTCTATAAGAGATGTACCACAACACCATGGTTTGCCATTTGGTTTTGTACAAGCCAAGTGTGTAGAGAAACAATCCAAGGCTTGAACTGAAATATATGAATGTAAAAGCATTGGAAAATAAAAGATGAACAACTTCAAAGCACTGAGTACATGACTTTTGTAAACTGTGGTGGCTCCTAAAAGAGCCGCTGTTATACAGAGTTTTTACTTTGTTGCTTAGTTTTGCCTTTGCTCTGCACAGCTGTATCCTCTGGTGGAGGCAGTCTGATACTTCTGCCTAATTCTGTTGTATATACAGGCAGGAAGTGGTCTAGTGTTGTTCCAACCAAGAGGCCCAAATATCCATTGCACAAGAAAGCGGTATGCAGTGGCACGACAGCTCCAAAGAAAGAAGAAAAGTTTACAGCTTTTTATGAGTTATATTATTTTCAGGTTTTTTCTTTTAATTCTTACAAAGGACTTTTACATCTGAAATTATTGCTTAGATATTGCCAATAATATCGGAGCATTATTGCTTTTAAAATGAAGTTGGTCTTGGTCAAATCATACAGGAAAAATTCTGCAGCATCCTCACTTGTAAGCTACTTTTATGTACTCAAGTAGCCGAACCTCATTCACATTTGGTCGACCCGTTTGACGGAAATGAAGCGAAGTTTGATAAACATAAAAAAACATGCTTTCAAATACACCGTTTTGGGTCTTTAACTTTGTAAACTCCTTCTCAACCGTCTCTTGAAGATGATTGAAATCTCCAGATTTAGAAGGGAAAACTATTTTACGACATCCCAAGCCCGCTTCTTGTAACTCTCCTAACTCATCCAGCGACGGATAAATATCTTGACTGGGACTTGCCAACAAGCAAAAGTCGCGAGTCCACATTTCCTTTGGCTGGATAAAGAATGATACATTCTTCTTTCCTTTCTTAGCAGGACCGGGGAATGGCCTTTTTCGGCCACCGGAAAGACAAGGGAAGGCTCATCTGAAATAAATGTTAACAAAAAATTAACCTACATATTTTAAGGGTAGGCTGGACATTCAAGGAATTCAACAAATCGTCCCTAGCCAGTCCAATCGGGACATCAAAAACAAAACTATTCATGAACAAACTTACTTCAAATCTTTCGCTAAAGCCTCCGACAAAGATAAAGAGGATGGTGAAGGAGTTGTTGAAGGTTGACGTTCAGCATCTTGACCATTGAGCCTATTTTCCCCTTCTATTTTGGCGATGGCGTCTTTTAAACTCACAACAACTTTGGTTACCTTTTTCCCAATTCTAACTACGTGGGTGAAAAACCATGGGAAGAAGATACACCTCTCTTAAGGGTGCTGCCTTGTCGTGGCGGGAGTCCCTATTAGTTGGCCGGTGCATCCTGCCCCTAGTCTACACAGCTGCGCCTGGTGTGGGCCTGGTCCGCTGGGCCCGGGGGATCATGTAGCCGCCCACTCCAATATATATATATATATCAAGGGCTTAGTCCCTCTGGCTTGTGTTACTCTTGATTGAGCTGTGAATACTTTTGTGTTTTTTTTATGAGGCATGGTAAGGTGAAAAGCACTACATAAATGTGCGGGCCATATACTGCCCATGGACATTGGCGGGAAGGGCTGAATGCCACTGCCCAGCCGGTCGCCTGAGGCCCCTGGGCTTATAATATCTTGCCTTGGCTGTGATCTTGCCCAGCCAGGCTTTTACATCATGCCTTTTGGCTAACATCTGGGCTGTCAGCTTGCCCTACAAGCCCTCTCTAACTTATATGAGTGAGGTGTAGTGCACTGGTCCTCTGGGCCTTGCGGGCTTGTCCCACATTGGACGATGAGCTTTACCACCAGCTGTCGGGAGCGAGTACTGGTTGGCGAAGCTTAAGGTGCCCTAAGCTCCTGGGGGCTAGCAACCCCTAGGAGTTTTATGCGTAGCTATGAGATCAAATACAAGACATAGAGGGAATGCCACAGTGGGGACTCCTAGTGATGCTCGACCTGCTCAAAGGGTGGCCGGTGGTGCAGGTCTCCTGCCATGTCCCTGCAGTCATGAGTTTCAGGGCAAAGCGGGGGTCTTTCTCCATCATCACCGCGTGCACCCGGAGGCCTAACATAAAGATCATGTGCCTGAGCAGAGGAAGAAAGCACGCTGGGACTATGAGGAAAAGGTTCTCTTGGCAAGGGGAGAGATCACAATGCTTGATGCGGGAATTTTGGTCAATAGTAAGACCTTGGCAGAACAGCTCCCGGGTCGATCTTCTGAAGCAATTAAGAAGATCAATTCTAATGAGAATACAGGCCTTTCAAACATACCCGGTTACGTTTTTGAACACGTCCCAACACCTCTAGCATGTGGTGGTGTAGGCCTCTTTGTCGATGAAACACTTAGTTATTCAGTTTTAGAAAAAACTTCCACCGAATCTTTTCAGGCATTGTGGATAGAAATTTCTTTTGTTAAGAAGAAAAACGTAATCTGTGGAGTCTTATACCGTCAACATAATTCTCCAGAGAGCTTTCTTAAATACTTGGAAGAGACTATCGACAAATTTACTTCGACAGGGAAGAACTTATGTCTCTTAG